AAGATTATTCTTGCAAGAAAAGAATGACAAATTAGGTTTTGTGCTTTCTTTAGTTCTACTTTTCACAGGCCATGAAAAGCTTATGGGAGGGTCAATCTGTTGTCCATCGATCCACTTGCACATATTTATTCATATTACTCCTACCAAACAGCTTGGAGGGTTGCAATAAAACTTAACACATACATTCATCACATGTTTTAGTTGGCTCTAAGTAAAAATGTTACTGCTTAGACATCCAATATGGTGACTATAGCAGTCAACTTGAAAATCTTTATCACTTCTCCTCCTCAATGAATGGTGACATGAACATGTGGTTTTCACTAAATGACTTCAAAGGGTGTCTGGTTGGTCCTGACTAAATATGGTGCTGATATGATGTCCAGTATGACCAATAGAAAATCTTGTTATCACTACTCCTCCTGAAAGTAATGTTGTAATGGAGTTTTCACCAAAAGAGATTTTATGATGTATAGTTGCTCCTAAATTAATTTTGTTGCTCGCACATCCATTATGGCTGCCACAGTAGCAATCTTAAAAATCATCTTTCCACTGCTTTTCACCGAATGACTAATTATGAAGTCTAGTTTGTCATAAATGAAAAGTCACATTGACATTGTGATTTCATCAGAAGATTTCTTATGATGTCTAGTGGGTCCTAAATGGGGATGGTACCAGTCTGGCTTCCAAAATGATATCTAATAGGTCATTAATGAAAATGGTGCCATCTGATATGTCCACTACAGCAGCTATTTCATTAATCTTGTTATCACTGAACAATATGGGTTCAACACTCAGTAGTTTAAGGAAGAAATAATCTCATCTGGAATTCCTTGAAATTCCTTCCAGCCTATAGAATTTTAACATATGTATGCAAAAAACTAAATAGTTTCATTTACAAAATTAAAGTCTATCTGGTGTGTCAGGAGTCTAAAATCCCTCCACTGGATCTATGGCTATAGTGTTGTCTTTATTTTGTGGTCAATTAGCCAATTTCTAGAAAACAAAACAAAAAAATTAGTTTAGAAATGTAAACATACAGTACTAATGAAATGTTATTTTTTATTGTTAAATTTTTAAAAAATTCTCAATATAATTATTTTTTCAGTGTCATCATGATGCAAAAGAATTCAATCAGATCCAGCCATAAATGAATGAAGAAAACCAAGGGATTTCAATATAAGTCTTGAGTTTGTTATTCCTCGTGATGAGTCAAGTCACTTTAAGAGGAAATGTACATATGGAAATATCAGGACACAGTTCTTGCATAGTCAGTGAAACACTATCACCCTTAATATTTGTGATTTTGTCATTATTTTTCATTTTTTATAAAAGAAAACCAGTAAGATGGATGTAACAAACAAATGCTGCAATGCCATGTGACATAGAAAATTCAATTCTTATACTACTGTGGTCCCTCACTAAGAAGTACTATATAATAATGTTATACCTTCATAACAGGTATGGGTCACATTAAATTGGCTTATGTCATTTATTTTTTTCCAACACTTTTATTTCACTTAAGTTAACTTCTTGACCATTCAGAACCAATTATGCTGTGATTTTGTATCATTAAATTCTCAATTTTATGATTTTGTATGCAGCTTTTATTATTATGCTTTAACATACCCAGCTATAAAGCAACCTCAATTTTAACAAGTTACATATTTTGGGTTTTGACAAACAGCATGATGGAGGGAGAATGTTTAGTTTTTATGGTCTTTGCTTGCTTTGCTGATGGTTCATCCCTCTCTGAACTGTACTCCATTTCAACATGAATCACACTAAGGAACTATTCTGACTATAAAATAGGTCTTGTATTTTACTCATTAAGTAAAGTTTGACTCCAGAGAAATGTTTCCATTTATTATGAACTGTGTTAATAAAGATGGCTTGAACATTCATCATGAACTGTGTTAATAAAGATGGCTTGAACATTCTTATTCAGGGCAGTGTGTAATACCTTTCTTTTTTCATCATACAGCTCTTTCATTTACACAAGACAAAATAGGCTATTGCACATATTGTACTTAGGAAACTACCTCTATTTTGATATCAGTATTGGAAATATAGCATTTGTCAATATTTTGATATCATTATTGGACAGCCTGTGTCAGTATTTTGATATCAGTCTTGGGCAGCCTGTGTCAATATTTTTATAACAGTATTGGACAGCCTTTGTCAGTATTTTTATATCAATATCGGACAGCCTGTGTCAGTATTTGATATCAGTATTGGACAGTCTGTTTCAGTATTTTGATATCAATATTGGACAGCCAATGTAAATATTTTGATATCAGTATTGAATAGTCTGTCATTATTTTGCTGTCAATATTGGACAGTCTGTGTCATTATTTTCATATCTATACTGGGTGGCCCATGTTACTATTTTAAAAGTATGGTTAACAAAATGTAAATATACATACAATCAGAGCACACTGTCAGACTCTTTTTGTTCTATCCAAGTTTTATCCAGTGGTTTTCTATGCTGCCCTATTGATTCCAAGATGAACAAAATGTAATTTATAATAATAATAATAATTTTGTTTGTTTGTTGTTGGGTTTAACGCCATTTTTCAGCACACGATAGGCTATACATGGCGGCCAGTATTAATGGTGGAGGAAAAAACCGGAAAATCACCGGAAAGAACCACCGACCCACGAGAAGCTACTGGCAAGCTTTCTCACATATCCACATTCGACGAATCCTAGACTCGAACCCACGCAGACAGAGGTGAGATGGCAGTGATCTGTAACGGACAGCGCTTTAGACCACTCGGTCACTAATAATAATAATAGTAATAATAATAATAATAATAATAATAATAATAATAATAATAATAATAATAATAATAATAATAATTATTGAGCAGATTTTAATAAAACTTTGGTGAAGTATTTCGTATAACATTCTCTCCCAAAGTTACATTGGAGTAATTCTAGGAACTGTCACAACAGCCAGGTGCAAAATGAAAAAAGGGTATGGCTATTTTGCTCAAACATTTTGGTAATCCATTGCATTCTATTTTCAAATCTGTAAGATACTGTTTCCCTTTTGCAAAAATGCATTTTATACACATTAAATAGTCTGAGTTTATTTCTGTGAGTGAGAAATATTACATATGCAAAATAATTATCGCACAATTTCATTAGCTGAACTAAAGTTTTTAATGGATTGATGTGAAACTTTGTAAATTTGGTAGTCATCACCTGAAGATTCACACATCACTTTCCCACACTTTGTACTTATTACCATTTTCAGCTAACATTTGAATACATTAATAGGTATGACAGAATCTTATGAATGTAACAGCACTTAGTCTCACATGTGTTGACTGAACTGTAGTGAAACTTGGCAAATTATATTGTCATTATCCAAAAATGAGCATATGAACAAATTACAATGCTTCCACAAGTTTCGTCAGAATTACTTCCCTTTTTGTCAGAATTACTGCCCTTTGTGTCAGAATTGCTCACTTTTTTGTCTTGAAAGTTGAATGTGTTATATAACTGAATGTTGTCAATGCAACCATTCCTGCAGCATTTTATGAATCACTGATAAGCTTAATGCACATTATCATCATCATACGAAGATGTCTATATCTGCAAACATTAACAATGCACTTGAAATGTTTTAAAGAGTTCGTGTTTTGGGGTTGATACTGGATAAGCTGTATGACAGAAAATTGAGAATGCTGCTGGTCTCACAGTTTTCAATAAATCACATAACACTTTGCTATGACAACCAGCTGCATATTGGCATCTCACTATGCACTCTATCCATATATATATATATATATATATATATATATATATATATATATATATATATATATATATATATATATATATATATACACACAGATCACTATGCACTCTATGCATATATATATATATATATATATATATATATATATATATATATATATATATACAGATCACTATGCACTCTATGCATATATATACAGATCACTATGCACTCTATGCATAGATACAGATCACTATGCACTCTATGCATATATACAGATCACTATGCACTCGTAATTGTTTTAGAGTTACTGCTATCTTTGTCATGCTGTTGAATGCACTGCAAGACAGAATCATACGAAATAAACCTGTGGTGCAAATTTTAATAGATTGCTGTGAAAATAGTACATAGTATGGTCATCATCAAAAGATGTTATCCCATGATTCTTTGCATATCTGGCTGTAAGACCAAGTGAACTTATTGATCTGTAGCCATCATGCATTTTGTATTGTCCGTGATCCATTTATCCATAATTTCTTGTTACCCTTCTTGATTCTCATGATATGTGATGGCCATATTGAAGGTCCGATTGGTACCATGTACATTTTTACCAATTGCACATCATTAGACGTCTTCTTTTCATGATTAGTAGCTTAACCAAGACTTTCAAAATGGCTTTCATGGTGGCCATATTGCTTTTCAGATCTTCAATGCTTTCTCTTTGGAGCAAGTAAATGTAACAAGATTTGTTGTTTTTTTTGTGAATACCTAATGTTGATTTGTTTTTCCAATCAGGGTTAGCAATAACAAGATTTGTAAGATGGCCACTACGGCAGTTATTTAGATGTTTGAGTAGCACCATTTTTATCCAACACCAACTAGACATAAAAATTGCATGATTAAAACCCCATGCAGATATGAATAATGGAATTTTACCAAAAAAACTGCTGAGAGGAAGACTTACTGACGAAATAACTGAGAAAGTTAAGCCAAAAAAAGAAGAATAGATTGAGACAGTAAAAACACGAATTAAAAACAGCAAGGATTTTTAACATAGCTTTAACAATTTTCCAGTCATATTGCTATGATGTCTGCAGTGTGGCAGTTTAGATTATTATTACACATGTAGCATTATATCCCACCCAGTCACTTTATCCTGACACCAGGCTGACCAGTTCTAACACTAACCTCTTAATGCTGAGTACCAAGCAAGGCAGCTGTTAATACTATTTTTTGTAAGTCTTTGGTATGAGCCAGCCCCAGCCAGGTATCAAACTCGCGACCTCCCTCATCCTAGGCAGACACTCTAACCACTAGGTCACTGGAGCAGTTTCGATTTTCGTAATGATATAGATAAGAACTGTAAAACGTTTAAGAATAATGTATAATAAATAAGACTTTCAGTTAAAACTGTTACAGCGTATTTGGAGCTCAAATTCCTTACCAGATAAAACAAATTCATGTACGTGTACATATTATATAGTAAGCAAACTGAGATGATGGATCTATCATTCATCTACCGTTTGATTGTAATAAGGTAAACAAATCTGGAACGAGTGCATAGTTCAATCCTGACCAATTTTAACATACGAGTTCAAATAAAATTAAAGAATATTAATCAAGCAGCGAGCAACTTCTAAAAGAAACAAATGTAGTAATCAAAATTTAAAATTTGAATCCTTCTCTTTCACGCCTAAAATATCCGAAACAAAATATTATCAGGCTGAAAAATAAATGGGACGATGGAAAAGTTTATTCGATAGTTCTCTATTTTAATAATACATGTTAAGTACCCCAAACCTCAGGTTGAATATAACATGTGGATGTACATTTGAATACAACTTATCCAATAGCAAATCCAAAGTTATGTTCTCTCTCTCTCTCTCTCTCTCTCTCTCTCTCTCTCTCTCTCTCTCTCTCTCTCTCTCTCTCTCTCTCTCTCTCTCTCTCACACACACACACACAGACAACGTTATGTGTAATATACATAATATAAAATTCAGCTTGTCCCTACCAAATATTTTCTATTTTTAAACTGCTTAAAATATTTATTGTACCGCCATGTTACAAGCGATGATCCCAAGAATCCCCAATCGCTGATTCTTGCTTGGATATTAAACTTTTAAAATAACAGTTCTTCAAAGGGACTGACGATCTACTTTCCGAAAAGAATTTCCAGGAACTCAAGGTAAGACTAGATCTTAATTTTCAACATCAGTACTGGAGTATTATAACCATCTATGACATTCTTGAATTCTTGCGGCTACTGAATATAAGATCAGCACCATTTTCAATTATTACAAAGCAGATACCATCAGTAAACTTTTAGTGAAAACCCTATTTTGATATGACCTTACATTCATGACATTTTTGAGGTAAGATTTCTAATATGTTCATTGGCAGCCATATTTGAGGTCAAATAAGTACCATTTTCATTCGTGCGATTTTGTACTTGGTGCGACTATGTGTTTGAGAATAATTTGTTCTAAGTGTGTCGATTTTTAATAACGGTTGCCATATTGGCTAATAGAGCCTCAACACTTTACTAAATTTAGTAGGTCGCATAGTCTAAATGTTCTCTGGAAAATCATGCGCAAATTGGTCAAGAGTTTCTCAAAAGCTCTAAATGGTAATTGTACACAGAATAGTCTTTTGTCCGTCGTGTTCTATCTCATCAGCTCACTTGGCTTTATCACATTGAGTTACTGATATCGTATAATAAAGACACTTTAACAAGAATAGCACAATCCGTTATACAATCAATCTACATCATGTTAACAAATCGCGTACATTTTCCATTAAATCACGAATAGATTTATTCTGTCCTGCCGTGTCTGGCATCTAGTTAAATGTCAAGCGCGGCCATGTGAAAGTAGTCGGATAACAGGGTCCATAGTAAAAATGTCTTGAAACGGGAACATGCAACGGCTTTATTAGCAATATCTGTCCTGAAAAGAAAACAGCTTGATCCAGTTATTGTCGACCAGTCCCACACCTAAGGCGGTCGTTCACCTGTTTTGTCTTAAGTGGGAGGAATCAAGACCACGTACAAAGTGCGCTCTTCTGTCCGGAAAGGAGACTGACGAAACTGCAAGACGACATGACAAAACGGCTAAATAACAGAAAGAAGAAAAAAAAATGAAACAGATGAATGCAAGAAAAAAAATGGCCAAAGAATTAAAATATTTTGAAAATATACATTTACAACCATATGCCGTTGAATACTTAGAGAACTTTATTACTGTATGCAATACACATGATAAATGTGCATGTTAAAGGACTTCAGATTAATGCACGAAATATATGACCGATATCAGAGTAGTTTTTCTAATGCTGAAAACTTTTTAATGTGACATTTTCAAATTACGTAAGTAACCACTATCAATGTTATGATTCATTTTGTAGATCATTCAGACGTGTAAGAATGCACACACTACTATCTGCAAGTACGTTCGCACCTACATAGGTGTTGACGAGTCTATTGTTCCTCGTCGTTGTCATTCCCGCTGTTAAAAAAGGCATGACAGAGCAAACTACAATACCTTTATTGAGTCGTCAACATAAATGATACAATTAACAGTCTTTTCATAAACTATCAGAACTTTATAGTTCTAATCAACTCTGATGTGATAAAACTGGTGATTTTATTTTCTGATTTTACTCTTCATTCCTTCCAGTTCAATTATTCCTCAAACTATTTCTCACATACGCATTTTTAATGTCTAAAATAAACTAAATTTCAAGTTTTACCAAGGCAGTCAAATATGCCATGTAAAACTCTTTGTCAATGACCATTTTAACAAAAGCTGGGGATGTCTTTTATAAATTTCGTTCCCTCCTTTGCATTAATTATGTCATTTTCCATTTTAGTATCCCGTTTTAGCAGAGAGAATAATAAGGAACTAACATAGAACATAAGTCTGGCTCGCAGGAAAATCCTGCGTTTCCATCTTAACCCCCTTTCGAAAAGTCAAGCAGGCAGTGCCGCGTCTTACGTAAATATATAAATAACGAATGTACCAAGAAATCTGACAGTAGTGGTAGAAAGTATATATATAGCTCTCTTTACTGGAATGTGTAAACAGGCTGAAGTATGTATAACTGGAACAATAGCAGGTGAATGAACTCTCAAATATGGGACCGACCTAATTAACTTGCTCAGGGAGAGAGGTAAGGTTTTCTTTTTCTTTTTTCGAGAACAATAAATCGGGCTAAGCAATCAAATAAATTTTTAAAATATAATCTTGCTCTGAGTTATGACAATAAAGAAAATAAAACAACTAAAATAAGTATTACATTTATTGAAGCAATAAATTATCTTAAGGTAAAAACATATCCTGGTTGGAAGAATCTACTGTAATTTTTGTTTTAAGGTTAAACAAAGTACGTACACTGATTCAACCTACTTCAAAATGACAAACAAGCCAGGCCTTAAGGGCAAGGCCAACGGGGCAACCGCATTGTGCCCTGCGCTTCTCCGCAATAAAATTTGTTTGCTTGGAGCCCTGCGCTCATTGCTTGTTGCCTTGGGCCCTACATGTTGCGTTGAGCCACGCCCATCCTAGGGCCGGGCCTGAAGACTATAATGTACCTATACAGCTGCTAGCCTAGTAGACTTAATGTATCGTCGATATATAATTAAAACTAGCAACACTGTGCTAAGGATCAACCATTTTGTTTTTCGGGTAGGTAAAGGACGATATCTTTGAAATTAAATTCCTTTAAAGCCATATGGCATGAAATAAATATCCGTGGACTGATTTTTTAAAGAATAAAACCTTAATTGTATTCATTTTATTACTGTTTGAAAAATTATAATGAGGTAAAAGAAAAAAATATCCTGGTTAGAAAGTAAATCCAGACCTGCTATCCCCCAACTTAATATTTTTCACCCATTCGCTTAGGAGTCCATGTGTCTCTGCACCATCAAAAGGAACTATGATATGTACATGATTTTACTTTCCGTTCTTTTCTTTCTCTGGTATTTTTATGCTTATGTGTCAAAACAATTATGTCTGAACTATTATTTATAAATAAGTTAGTAATACGAGTTGTTTTACCTGAACCACCACATCGATTAAGATAAACATTGTTATACAGATGGTGCAGGTGACTTTGATACTTGATTATTTTTGTAATATATTTCCTTAATTTGAACGTTGGTAGATCCAGTATAACTAAGTATATTTTCTTTTTTTATCATCCATCTTCCACATTCACCATTACCGAGTAGCGGTTTTAATAAATCCTTATATTTTTTTTATTAATAAATGATCTTAAATGAATAAATTGCGGTCAATCGCCATTAATACAGTTCACAATTGTACCTAGTTTTGTTCCATCTAATAAATACACATTACATCGGCTTATAAATGTGCTTTTTTTCGTTGTATCAGCGATTATAAAATCTAGTTCAGCATCGTTTATAATTAATCTTGTACAGTGCCGTTTATAATCGTATGAACTACCTTGAGTAAACTTACCGATTATCTTTCTACCTTCTGCAAATTTTTCATCGTGCTCTTTCCTGCATTTACGTATTTTAACCATGTCATCTTCGTCAAGATTAGGAAATTCTTTCCTGGCATCATCGACATTAAATCTACCCGGTTCTTGTAACAAAAACTTGCTTCTGTAAACTATACGATATAATTGCTTCATTTACTCTCAACGATATCAAAATTTCAGCATCAAGCTTATAGCGCAATAGAACTATTGGAACCCAACATTTGACTAAAAAAATGTCTTCCAAACCAGCATAAGTAATAATATGGAGATCTTCGGTGAACTCGAATGATTCTATACAAGCAAATCCAGTTAACCCTAGTCATGTCATGCTAAGGATGTCCAAATCTCTTAAAGTATCTAGAACATTCTCCACATCAAAAAAATCACAGGATAATATGCTACCATACCAACTGAGATAATGTCACTATAATCTTATTTAGCATTCCATAATCCATCGTGTCCATATTCTATACAACTTTTCTTGACATCTTCAAGAAATTCTGATCGTGTCGGTTTCCATGAATATTTCTCCTGAGCGAAATGGGCAGCAACGGTAAAACAATTATTCAGTACTTGTCTTACTTTGGCATCATCAGAAGTATATTTGAGCGAAAGATGTTCCATTTCTTCATGAAGAGATTCTGTACGATAAATATCACCATTAGGCCGTACAAACTGGTCGTAATCATATTTTAACTTTGAAATAACCAAACAGAAGCAGGGTCACTTTTACTGATATTCCTGATAAAATAAAATATATGACCATCATATTATTTAACTGTCTCGTGGAAATACTGTTACAGCATTAGGCCATGCATGT